CCTTGAGATACACAATGACTTAGTTTAAATAGTTTAAACACATTATGGTACTGATTTTGACATGCTGATGTCTGGAAGGGAGAGGGGGTGTGGGGGGTTATTGTCTGAGGTGGAGGACCAGAGGAGGGGGTCAGTGGAAGGATGGTGGCTGGAGGGATGCCATTGTTCTAATGGTTATGAAAACAAATATTGATGGCAGGAATTCAGTGGGTGTGTACTTCAGCCGCACCATCACCATACTGTGCCCTGCTACAACCCCCCCCCCCCCCAACTCCACCCATGCTGTGCGGGGCGTATTACACATTATGGGATAACCAACTGTCTGTCCATTCCTGTCTGCTCGTTATACTGCCCTTCCTTTTGAAAATTGTCTGCTTTATCGACTTCCTTCAAGACCACACGTTAGCCTCTTATCACGCCCTCTTACCACTCTCAGGGAGCCGGCTCTTCTATACAATAGTTACCACTCAGTCCCCAAGGTGAAAGAGTGTCCGGGCATATGACTTGTTACGTGTACTTATTTGCGATTCGTTTGGGCTGTCACGTGTGGTGATTAGTGTTGGGTAAGGCTAGGCCAGGTCAGGTCAGACTAGGCCAGGTCAGACTAGGCTAGGTAAGGCTAGGCCAGGTCAGGTCTGGGTCTGGCAGGTCTGGCTAGGCCAGGTCAGGCCAGGTCAGGTCAGGCCAGGCCAGGCTAGGCAGGGTGAGAGAAGTAAAGCGGCAGGTACTTACGTTTCCGAGAAAGTAGCGGCGGTAGTATATTGTTGATTTAGATTCGACGACATCCTGAAGCTAGTAGGTGGCGGCCTCATCGCTCTCGAACTTCTTGTTGTTGTAGGGGATACGAGGCACACCCAATATCCCCCTTACATTGATCACATCGCACACTAATATTTTTACTATTTCGGACACCAGATTTGTCTGTTTCGTATATGTATAATTGTTCAATATTAAAACCACAATAGAATGCTCTTAACAGTTACAATTTTCAACTTAACAGCCATATAGTTGGCAAGAACGCCGCCCGCCAGTGCAAATATCTCAGACCCTGTTGGAATATAACCAGTCCGTCAATCGGGTCAACCCAAGTGTTGCGTTTCCATGCGTTTCCAAAAGGGTCGCCCTATACTCACAGGATGAGTATAGGGTACACAATAAACTACCACTCACATCATGGGTATGGGTTGCACAAGAAACTATCGCGCAGAGGATGAATATGGAGAGCAAAGTAAACAAAGATTCACACGATGAGAAAGGGTTGCGCAATGTCCTGTGACTCACAGGTTGAGTATTAGCTGCACAATAAACTACAGGTCACAGGATAAGTATGGGTTGCACAATAAATTACAGGTCACAGGATGGGTATGGGCTGCACAAACTACCGGTAACAGGATGAGTATGGGATGCACAATAAATTACGGGTCACAGGATGAGTATGGGTTGCACAAACTACCGGTAACAAGATGAGTATGGGGTGCACAATAAATTACCGCACAGAGGATGAGTATAGGGTGCACAAACTGGTTGGGTAAATGGAAATGGTTGGGTACATTTCCTTTCACCTAATGCGACTATTCATGTGTCCGGACACCGGCGATTGTGTGGTATTGGCTATTTATTTAACCATAACTTTGCATTCATTTAATAATTATATTAAGATATGTTTTCCTTGAAATGTAGTTACATTATCGTCTACATGTCTTTATTCTGACATAAAGACCTATGGCGTTACTTTGCATATATGCAAAGTAATTATAAAATTGATTGGCTTGTGTGGAGGCCTTCACACTCCCTGAGCGAGCCATCAAGTAACTATAAAAAGGCATATATCTTCACTTTCACTTCAGTTATATTTATGCCAAAGTATTAACATGCAGCTTATATTTATGTCTTTATGATGACATAGAAAACTTCGTTTATTACAATATCTAGATTAAATTAACATTGATCTTCGGAAGGTCATAGTTCCTATATCGGTAAGGAGAGCGTCGGCCATGAAGCCTTGTTTAAAGTATGAATATTTTTCCTCTCTAATAAGGTATAATCTCTGTGATGGATTCACAAAAACTATTTTATATCTGCCTTTCTGATAACATATACAAATATAATCTTTATTTGTGAATATTTGTTAATTAAGCAATATATCAGAGGGCGTGTAGGGTTCGGTGTTCAATGAACGAAAAGGACTGGATCACTGTGTACAGGAGGCTGATATGGCAGCAAACACTGTCCTGGCGACCATATTTCTTGGATAAGTCGCTCCACACAATTGTCGCTTGGACCATCGACTTCCTATGGCGTCACCTCTCACATATTTACGTCTCATTTCGTTATGAAATTAGATTATTTCAGAGTAAAAATAGGTTTGATCATGTTCTACGTGTAGCACCAACATTATAGTAAGTAAATATACTATATTTCTTCATTACTTACGTAATGCTAGGACGATTTGTGTAGTTTTGGGCCGATTTGGGCTGATTTGGGTAATTCTATGGACCGGCAGAGCAGCTGGAGAGGTTTATAAATAAATAAATATGTTTATTCAGGAAAGGTACATACATACAAGTGATGTTACATTAATGGATCGATATATAGATAGAGCTAGTACATACAATGCCTAAAGCCACTATTACGCAATGCGTTTCGGGCAGGAAAAACATTAATATCTAGAACTTAATACTAATTGAGCATAAAGAATAAAATGTGTTGAGAACAAATACAAATAAAGATAAAAAAAGGGGGAACATGACTGAAGAAGCAGCACAAATACAATAGGTTGACAGTGTTGATTAAAAAAAAAATAACAGACATGGGTTGACAATAGTAGGTAGGTTACAGGGAATTTATTAGGTAGTGTTTAGTTTTTATCTTAAACTGGTTGAGAGAGGTACAGTCTTTAACATGGTTGGGAAGATCATTCCACATTCTGGGTCCCTTGATTTGTAGAGCATTTCTAGTTTGATTAAGTCGTACTCTTGGAATATCAAAACTGTATTTATTTCTGGTGTGGTGCTCATGGTTTCTGTTACAACCTTCAATGAAGCTTTTGAGGTCAGGATTGGCATTACAGTTCAGCATTTTATATATGTATAATACACAAGAGAGAATGTGCAGTGACTTAATATCTAACATATTCAGAGATTTGAGTAGGGGTACCGAGTGATGTCTGGGGCCAGAGTAGGATATTGTCCTAATAGCAGGTCTGTAACATTATGACAGGTTTGGGTAATAAACATGCTATAATAACTAGTTGTACATTTGATATAGTTTAATTATAGTGGTTGATGTTTGAATAGTATGACACCATCGTGGCCAGTTGTCCTAAGATGCTGATGGAGATTGTGATGCATGAACCCCCGACTTTCCAGACACGTCCGTAATGTTACTGCTGGCTAGTATGTGATGTGTGACTGCCGACGTGATTTTGGCAGCCTTATATTCCAGTCCACCTGACTTGTTTAAACCCAGGTTGCTCATAAAGTGGTTGATGGGAAACTTGCCCACAGTATCTGTCGGATGTCATTATATTTCGTGGAATTCCTGGGAATGAACAAATCCACAAGGGCCATGACAAGGGTTCGAACCTACGTCCGAGAGGACCCCAGATTCCAGATCCCAGGTAGGTTCGAACCCTCGTCACGGCCCTTGGGGATTTGTTCATTTGATGCATCACTTTATTGTGATTTGTGTGTCCCAAGGAATAATGTATGTTGCAATATTTTTAGTGATACATGAATTCCTGGAATGTTTAAGTAGCTACTACAGTACATTATTTCTGATGTAGTTGCTGCAGATCCATGGCGAGTCATAGAATTATTTCCCATATTCTCATCAGATTAACTTTTCCCCTTGATCTCCAATCACCTCTTCATTGTTTTCAGTAGTATAAGCATGAAGGTAGGAAAGGGGGCTTCATGAAAAAGCTATTAGTTTAATTTTTTGACACAATTGTACTTTTTTTCTTATATTGATTAGCTTAGAAATTAGAGAGTATTCTAGATATATTTGAATGCACTGTGAGGTGCATAAATTTCATGTATGGGTTTATCAGATTGTAAGAATTATGGAGGACAAATCATTGTTCTCTTGCACTACTTCAAGAATCTGATTATAAATGGTGCTAACTGCTGGTTAGTGGTGTTGCATGGTTAATTATCCAGTTGAATTAGTGGGTCATGTCTGAGGAATCCTTGATTTAGGTCAAATTTGTAAGAGTTGAATTTTTGTGGGATTCTATTCAATGGTTCCTAGTATGGCCACCATGCACATTCAGCCACTGGATGGTGGCTTGTTTTCTTCACTAAGACCCTAGAAGGAAAGAGGAATTCAGGATGGTTACGGGAGGCCTGAGGAAGCAAATGTGAGCCCATGAGTATGCACAGGAGTTTTGAATCTTGTGATATACCCACAAGTGCCAAAAGGCATAGTCTTATCCAAACTACATATCAGAAAAATGTAATTTCTTAATTTTTCTGGTGTGCTATTTGGATATCATATTGTCAGCAATGTTATTGTGACAGCTCAAAAAAAAAAAGACATCGTGAACACCATAGGTCGAGCGTTTTAAGGCGTTTTGAGCAGTGCAGGGGTTAAAGCAGAGTCATTAATGAAAGGAGCCTGGGTCACTAAGCTCAGTGGTGGATTATTCAAGATTGGGTTCTGTTGCAATTTCTCTAAAGTTTGCTATTAGTTTTTTTGTTTGTTTTACATAAATAATGTTTTGGGATTGATAGGCTGTAGGACTTGTAGAGTGCATGAAATTAGTTACAATGTAGATATTAAATTTATTTTCACTTTAACATACATTTTCATCCACATTAATAATTCCATAAGGAACAAATAATATTTTAACTACATTTTCTTTTGCAGATGTGTGTATATGTGAGGGAGCCGGTCGGCCGAGCGGACAGCACGCTGGACTTGTGATCCTGGGTTCGATCCCAGGTGCTGGCGAGAAACATTGGGCAGAGTTTCTTTCACCCTATGCCCCTGTTACCTAGCAGTAAAATAGGTACCTGGGTGTTAGTCAGCTGTCACGGGCTGCTTCCTGGGGGGTGGAGGCCAGGTTGTGGACCGGGCTGCGGGGACACTAAAAAGCCCCGAAATCATCTCAAGATAACCTCAAGCTATATCCTAAGCATGTTAGGGGTTTAAGAAAATACACAAGGCATTTGCTCTGTGTCTTTGGCTATTTTTCCTCTGTATTTTCTATAACTCTTTGTGTCTATAGCATAGTATGCCATATGGAGCTGGCTCAGAGAGCATCCAGAAGAACTTTTACTAGGAAATTGGATGTGGAAGATAATGAAACACTTTCAGACTCATCCAAATGTCTAGATAAACTAAACAGAAACTAGACCCAATTACTGTATTCATTTTCATATAATCAGGACTGCTGTACTGTGTGCCTTCAATTACACCAATAAAAAATTATAATCTTAAATAATATTCAGCTAAGTATGATAGATAGCCCAACTATCAGTCTGAGACAAACCAGGACTTGCATGGGATTCTTGTAATGGCCGCAGAGTGACTAAAGGGCGATTATCAATACCTGGCGAGTCATTTACTGCTGTAGAAGTATGAGTACCAAGTGGCAAAGAGTGGGATGTTGAGTGATTTTCAGATGTGGCAACTGAAGTCACCTCTGGTGCAACCATCAGAGAAGTTTCTGCATGCATATCTGTACTCTGACGAGATGTAGAAATTCCAGAAAAAGCGAATGTTGAATGTGGTATATTAGTAACACTGTAGCTAGGCCCTCCATTAGAGACAACTGTTGATCCAGTTACCAGAGGTAGCAAGCTTTCTCTTTCTCGTACTAAAGATGGCACTGATGATAATGCAGCTCCTGGATGGCGTTGATGAACCCGAAGGTGTTTGCGTAAATTGCCAGATTCACAGAATCCACGACCACAAAATTGACATTCAAATGGCCTTTCTCCTGTGTGTAGTCTCTCATGAACCTTCTTTTTTCCTTGGTCCCTATGGAAAGAAAAACACTTAAAAAAAAGTAATGCATTTTCTAAAAATACAGAAAATTAAATTTATAAAAAATTAATGCTTTACAAAAATACACATCAGTTAACTGCCCTGTACTAAGCTATTTGACCCTACAACTTTGATTTAAAATTTGTTGATTTCATTTCGGTAATTATTCATGCAGCAGCCATGCACTCTAAATTTGAAAATCTTGTCTACCAACAGCACAAAGTGGACTGTTACTGTCATAAGGACGGTTTGTAACCATGATAATTCACACAGTTTTGCATTCAAATTAATATTTTAAATGCAGTAATTCATTAATGCAAATTGACTATCTTGGTTTAGATTGTATTAAGTGTGTCTCATCCCCTACTCTCTCCTCAAGAGAGGAACACAGCACAGACAGCAGAAAGAAAAAATAGATGATCAGTCTAAGGTGCCTGGGTTAACCCAACTGCTGATCCCACAGAACTGGGTATCCCACCTAGCATAAAATATAAATGAAAGGGTAGAATTGCTTACCTAAAGCTTTTTTCACAGAATGAACACTTGTAGGGTCTTGTATCTGTATGCACATGTTCATGCTTCTTAAGAACCTCTCTACGAAGAAATTCTTTTCCACAGAATTGACATTTGTGAGGCTTCTCCCCAGAGTGCTTCCGGCGGTGCATGGCAAGTTGACCTTGTCTTGAGTAACTGAACATTTATTTACAAATTGTAATGAAATTTAATGCTGTATTTGTCTCAAAATATTTCCTGTACAATTTTGTGAAAAAAGACACAATTTTAGTATAATAAAATTAGTCACGGAATAAGAAATATTGCAAGTGCAGGTGATACTATTTGGATTGATAAATTAAATAAGACAAATTGTATAAAATATATGCAAGGGTAGAATGCTAACTGAAAAACCATCTATGACCTAAACTTCTGAACTTACAAATGATTATGGAAAATAAATGCTTGAAGGAGATTACTGTACAGTTTTTTAGCCATATGAAAAAGCATTAACCTAGGTATTATTTGGTCATATAACTGTATAGCACATAACCAATTTTGCATAGCGATGAATTCCCAGAAACCTCATGGAAAAGCAATCTAAGTAAACTTTGCTTAAAAGCTTGTGGGAAAAATTTGATGTATTCCAAGATCAATCACAAACAAATATTAATTATATGTACAGCATGCAGTGGAATCTCAATCTGGACTTGATGTACAGTATATTATTTTGAAGCCCTTCTGGAATCTTCACAGGTTAAAATCCATAAAACTTAATATTGCTAAACTTAGGTCCCCCACTTGGTTGCTTTCTGAACCAGAGCCTTTATGGTCCACCCAGAATAATAATATACCTACCAGGCTCTTGTGATTTATTCCCAGTATAATAAGTATCTTTACAAGTGCTCCTGTCATGTATTTAGGGAAGGGAGAAAAGTCTAAATTTGAACTGCTTTCAAACAAACTTGCTATGATGCAAAAGAAAAATCATGACCATAAAATGCCTTCCCTCCATGTGTTAATGTAAAAAGAACACCAGTTGCTGTTCTGCAAAATCAGTACTTGTTCAAAGAACAAAACTACATAGACTGCCAATAGATGTCACACTGTTACCACAACAGGGATGGGTTACTGAAAAATCCCCTTTTAAGCCCTGGAATTCAAGTGCTTCTAACATTCTGTGGTGGCCAATTAAGTTTTGATTTCTTATGTCTGGGTCCTTATAGAGTATGTCTCTGCACACGGGATGTCATGCTTTTAGTGTTTGCTTTATGGTATGATATTCCGGTTTTCACTGATTATATCTGCTGAAGTTGTTTCAAGCTCATCTTAAGTGAGATTTAACTTCTATCTAACTGTACCACTACCATGGTGGTAGTGGTACATGGAGCACTGTCCCAGGCCAAGGATTTAGTGCTGGGCTTCACTTAAACCTAAGATTTACTTGATCTCCTAACATTTCACATAATGTGACTCATATTAATGTAGGCACACATGTCAAAGTCCTCCTTTTACACAACATGCACCACTTGCTGCATAAAAACTCTTAACATTAAGCATAACTCTTCTGACTCTACACATATTTATCACTCTCCATAGTCCTTTTTTTTATTATCACACACACTACTGTAAACTAATTGCATCATACTCAACTACTAGGCTTTAGTGAAGGACATCACAAATTGGGGGAGAGAAACAAAATGTAATTGTATTAGTTTACAAGAATCTTCCTAAACATTATACTAACCTTATGCCACACATGTCACATATGAATGGTTTTTCCCCAGTATGTATTCGTCTATGTTCCTCCATGTTACCTCTTTGAGAGAAACACTTGCCGCAAAATTCGCAAGAGAAGGGGCGATGACCAGTATGTAGCCGCAAGTGACTTTCCAGATTTGCTTTCTGTGTGAATCTGGAAAAAAAAGGTTATTTGAAAAAATGAAGAGCATAGAGTATAAGGAAATGCAATTTTCTTTGGCACCTCAGTAGTTTTCTGGAGCATATAAAACTGGTATCGCAGGACCACCTCTCCATTATCAGAACCCTGAACTTTCTCTGACTACTGTGAACCCAGACCAGAATCTGGCTCCCTTGAGATGAGTGGAACATGTGGGATCAAAGATTAACTCGCAACTAAATGATGTAAACAATATGTAAACAACCAATATGTAAACAACCCTCATCCCAACTCCACTGGATGTCGAAATGTCAAACAAGAACAATGAGGGTACAAGGTATCCAACAACAAACATGAGGACAACATTTGTTCTGAGAAAAAATGCACTACACAAGAATGGAAATTTGATCCATTCCACGGATTAGAACAGTCTGCCACCAATTACACTGCCAAGCTGTATAGAGCATAGGCCAGCACTGAATGAGGAGGCCCACGTTGGAGGACGACCACCATTCTGCCTGCAAAGTTCAGGGAAAGCACCCCTAAAACCACAGGAATATAAATACAATACACACTAACCATCACATGCAATAGCTAAATAAAGGGGCAAATTATTTGACAAACAAAGGTCAATGCCATAATACATAAACTCCTTTCGTTCCAAGCATGCCAGCTAATGGCATATGATGCCAAAGTTCTTAAATTTTAAAGTGCAACTAATGACCCCTGAAATGCAAAGGATTTCTGCTAATGCCAATCACAAGCAATTTACATTTGTGCATGCCAGCTACATTCACACAGCATAACACAACCTCCATTCATTATGCTTACAACAACCTGCATCATACTCATGAGAAAGTATGGAAATACTTTACTCATGAAAAAGTAAAAGGCTTCCAAAACAAAAAAATAAGAGCTACAAGGATAACTTTCACTTATGATCTACAGTGTATGTTTAACAATGACAGATGAAACCTGTTTCATCAACATAATGCCACCTTATTACTTTTAACTCCCAGAAAAATGAACGGATGTCTAGAATCGTGAATGGTTTAATACAAAATTTGTGTCCGGAGGTGAAGTAATACCTTAAGTGTTGGCCTCCCAGAAAACAACACATTTGTACCATTTCCAGATAATAGCCTAACACATCCACTACAGGATGAGCTCTCAAATGGCAAAGCCATTGGTACATTCTTGCCCCCTCCCACCCCCCATACAACTTCACTGGTCCAACCTATGTATCAAGGCATTACTTATTTCAAGTATCACTATAAAATAAACTTTACTAGATTTCTCGATAATCAGCCAGATACCGTTGAGAATTTTTATCAATTTTACACAAGTTTGGATTCTGGATCACTAAATTCTGGATGATGACACTTAGAAATGGTTGGAGAAAACTTTGGCCTGTCTCTGGACTGTTTAATGAAAAAGATAATGTGTCAGATTTGAAGGAGCCGGTGGGAGCCATTTGGGGGATGGTGTGACTGTTTGGCACTCTCATACATGCAGCTTTTCCACTAGATTACCTAAGGATACTTTTATTTTAAAATGAATATCTACTGGTGCAAAGACTTCTAAGTTAATGGAGATACACCCCATTTACCACATGCTGTGGTAAATGGGGGTAGAGAACCAGAGTTTTGCCTTTTCTGGTAATCCTGAGAAACTACAAAAGGATATCCCACTGTATTTGGCAACCTGGATGCAAAATTAATGACAGATCATGTTTTAGGATAAGGAAAACAATCAATGAATAACACAACCAGTTCCAGTATTTGGTCTAAGACCTAAATTCCAATATAACAAATCAATATAAAGCATGATTAAAAATTAAAATTTTGGCATGTAAAAACAAATACCGTATTCAGCTTTCAATACTGTATATAAGTAGGACATTTTAATACCTGTACTCATAAATGTACATAACCTGGTCACGTACCTTTTTCCACAAACTTCACAACAATGGGTGTATCGTTCTTCACTTGGTCTGTGAGTTTTCTTGTGAATGAATAACTCTGCCTTACTTTTGAATTTCTTCTCACATTCATCACATGAAAATGGTCGACTGTTGGTGTGTACAAGCATATGTCTTGTCCACAAATAATGGGCAGGATACAATTTCTTGCATTTAGGACACCTATAATGCAATACAGAGAGATATTAAACATATTGATGCAACTAATTTAAACAGTCAAACATACTATGCACATCAGTGCTACTAAACTTATAACATTGAACAGTGTTTATTTTCAAGTAAGTTACCCACATCAGCAAACATATTTTTATGATGTGATGAGCTTTTGTTACATTATTCTTGCCCCATTTCCCACTGTGATGGGGTGGGGAGACATCAGTCCGCAGAAAATAGGTAATCACTTAGCAATACAGTAGAAGGTTAATGATGCTAAATAATACAAAATTAAAATATCACATCCATTCAGTATACCTTTCACAAAACAATACAAAGCATATACTATACTTTCCAACTTTAGAATTACCAGTACTTAAATAAATGGATGGCAAAATATTAAAGGAATTATTCACAACTTTTGTATGACCAAAACTCTAATATGCATCGGTTGTATGGTGCCCATATCTTAAGAACATCAGTATAATCTGGATATGGTGCAAAGACATGCTACTAAATGGCTTCTAGAACTAAAAAAATAAGAGCTACAAGGAGAGGTTAGAGGTGTCAAACATAGCAAATATATAAGAAAAAGAGGTGATATGATCACTACATAGAAAATAGTAACGGGAATTGACAAAATTGACAGAAAAGAATTCTTGAAACCTACATCTTCAAAAACAAGACATTATAGACAAACTAAGGAAACAAAGCTATTCCCCCCCCCCCCTTCAAAAAAATGAAAATAATGTTTTACAAACAGTGATAGACGATTGGAACAAACGAGTAGGTGGTGGATGGCAAAACTTGTCAGTAGTTTTGAAGTCCTATGACAAAGAGTACTGGGAAGATGAGACATCCCGAGCATAGCTCTCATCCTATAACTACACTTGGTAATTACACACACAAATATACACACACTATGTTCACCCACCTTCCTACCATTCCTCTCCTGTATCTACCCTCAAATTCACCTGAATAAACACTTAAAGTTATCACCACTTATTCATTCAACATGACCAAACCATCTTTGTACACACTTGTCAATCATATTTACCGACTTTAATACTTGAAATTTCTCCAGAAACATTTTCATTCCCTGCTCCTATTTTCCAAACACCACACATACTTCTCCATTTCTACTGCTCAATTGATTTTTTACACTCATACAAGACCATCTTTCATCCAAATGTAAAATACAGCACTACTACACCTTCATGCAGTAGTATCTATTCCTTATCTCATTTTTCTATATCTAGGATTTTCATGACACCAGCCACTTTCCTTCCCTGACTGACCCTACTTTCAACTTTGATTGTGGAAATTCATCATATCAGTTACACATTTGTTCACATAAACCATCATGTGCCAACCCGCCAGAACGCATCCATGTTAACAGCCAACCTAAATTGAAATCCAAACTAAAATACTGTATAGTTGATAAAAAATAAAATGCATTATATAAAATATAATATCAAACATTTAATACTAAAAGAAGAGCATCAATATAATGAAATGCAACTTGCTGGGCTATCCTTCACCAGTCACCTTGGCATACACACTGACTATTACTGTGCAGACTCAAGTAACTGCAGATGTTCTGAGAGATCGATTCATTATGGAGTCGAAGGCCTTTACAATCTACCATTGCTCCATAAATAAGGTGGAGATTGTAAAGGCATCATGATAAGCACTCAACCTACTACTGAGGCAAATCATTCAAAATTCTATGAAAAAAAAAGGATTGAATGTAATGAGTCCTGGAGGCTCCCCGGAGCTATACCGGACTGATATGTATGTACAGTATTAGATTGTGACATCAGTTAATTCGATGCAAACCTGGCACATTGCAGCAACCTAAACTATGCATGCAACGCCGATGCTGCCTGCACCCGAGTATCAGAATCAGTGGACTGGGTGAAAAGGAGAACCAGCAAGGAACACCGCAAAGGTACAGCACTTCTCAGTCACTGGAGCTAGGGTCGAACGACTGCCACGCAACAAATCAGCCTCAGAACTGAGGTTGCACGGCTGGCACAAGGGGTCAGAGGCCCCCCCCCTTTCCCCCTCCCGGGGAGAGGGGAGCTGCACAGACAGTGATGCAGCGGTTGTGACGTCATGCTTGTTTGCTCGTTTTTAGATTGTGGGGTTCTGCTTGATAGTTCAGTTTTCAGTAGCAATTTTAACCAGGTGGAGTTCATTTTGAGATGCCTACCTTTCTGGGTGCCTAACTCAGTAGATGACCAACACAGAATGCTTCCAACCACATGGGGGTTTCTGTAGGCCATTGCTCCTCGTATCTCTCTGAGGGGGTCAGGTTCTGGCTCGTGGTCCCTGGTAGGCTTGAACTCCAATTGAATTGACTGATGCCACGGTCTAATACATACATATCAGCCCAGTATAGCCAGAGGGGCTCTCCACAGAGAAAAAAAAAAAAGAGGCAAAATGACATTCAAACTCTCAACAGATGTTTTGGAAAGTGCCTAAAAACCAAAAACAAACTTCTGACAACTACTGAACACTACTGCCATTAGCCACAATAACAATCTTCAGACAGGTAAGTAAATACAAAATTAATACCTTTCTTATACTCATCCAGAGAAAATCTGGGGAAGGAGAAGAGCAGTTTTAGACTATTGGATAAGACTTCCACATTAAGTGCATTCAACAAGAAAGACTAAAATATGCTACCCTCTGATTTACAAAAATTACCAAGTTGCAGCATCCTAATACTTTTCAAAGGCTTACAGAATACTCATAAAACCTAAAAAAATAAACTCGTGAGTTAACCATAAATAGGGATAAGTAATAACCTAAAACAATGGGATAAAATAAACATGTAATAAAATATGGATTATTTTTTTGGTGCCAGTGAATACCAAATAAGTTGAATTAATCAAGCTTTGAATGTAGTGAAATATCCTTTAACAGGTGCACTTCAAGCTTATACAATGGTACTACCAAGACTTGGCTGCACACATCAGGCCTCTGAGACTCATCTGAAAGCCAGAACCAGAATATGGCTCATTCTATGAGGAGAGCTTGAGGAGCACAGATCAACATAATTAAAAAAAAAAAAACTGTTGTGGCATAACAAAAACTGACTGCTTTAATGAAATTTAGCATACCTGGGTAAATAAGCTAAAGCCTCGATCATGAATAAAAAATGCTACAAGTAAAGAAAACAAACCTATGGACCAAAAGAGTAAAACTCATGCTTCAGGCACAGCGATGGAACATCTCAATCTGACAGCAGAATCAAAGGCAACGAAAAAGGCTATTTAAAAAAACACAAAAAAAATCTTCAATTGAAAGAGAACTCTGAGAGAGGATGACTGCACATTAAAAAATGACAAAAAATAGCTGATGAAAGGAGGGCAAGAAGACATCCACCCCCAAATGTGAAGGAAGCGTGAAATAAGGTGACACTAATGGGTACTCAATCTAGCAAGGAAATCCAAAAAGAGCCAAGACAGTTTCATGGCTCCAGACACAAAACTGATGCCAAAGTGAAAGGCAGCACTGGAAAACCCCACCACACCCCTTCATTCTGTGCTGACACTACAAAGAAAGATGCAAAATGGAACCAAGAAGTCCACTACCTGACTCCATACAGGTGATGGAACACAAGGCCTAGAAACTAAACATGAAAAATGGCAGAATGTCTCAAACCATGAAAATAAGTCATGCCACCAATCCTCAGTGAGAGGTAGACTCAAGAAAGAGACAGGGGTTGAGACAATGGAAAAGAAGGTCCAGAAACCAGGTCTGATTTGGCCTTAATTGACCACATGGGAGCCAGCAGGGGAATGCAGCCCACAAAGGTCTCTAGCCTAGCCAAAACAGAAGTAGCAGCTAGACCAGGAAGAAAGGCAAGCTAAGACCACTAATCGCAGGGAAAAAAATAGTCTAAACCAAACACTTCCCAATCCAGAAACAGCACCAATACATAAGAAGCCACTGCCACTAGTTATACCCAGGGCAAGCAAGTCCACATATGAACACCTGAACAAGCTGCAAAACCAAAAGGAGGAATCTTTAATAACATTTGACATACTCTGAATGTGAACCACAGAGAATGAAATTTCAAGAAACAAGTCTATCCTCAGAGTCCAGCCCCACAAAGTAATAGAATGAAACTAGCCGACCCTTACTGAGGCAGTTTACCAATTGGCCGCAAGCTGAATGAAGATCGAGTGTAGATTTCTGCAGGAAATCCAGGCATCAAGAGTCCTATTATCCACAGACTTGAGCCAAGAGATAAGAGTGATACCATAATGCAGAACAAAGGAGAAAAACCACAAAAAAGGTGGAACAAGGCCATAGAAAATTAAGGGATGCTTGCCAGCCAGAGCCACATACCTTAGCCAGGAAGCAGATGAAGGCCTGCAAAAAGGGAGGAATTAGAACTTGGTGGAACTTGCAGGTACCAAAGCAAGTTCCACCAAGTAAAATACAAAGGAAAACAGAGAACAGAAACATATATAAGGGGCAAATCCAGGAACTGAACAGTAACCCAGAAATGTACCCACGGAGGAAGCATCTAGGTCATATCGAGACAGTACAAGAGAACATGTTCATACTGAGCAACAATCTCTCATGGACAGGAAAAAAAAACCAGCGTTGAATGTAATGAAACGCCATTTTCTGGGTGAGACCCGGAAAAAAAAGACACGAGAACCACGAGCAGCAAGGCCCCTGCACGAACACCAAAAATCCATGCCCGAAAGACTGCAAGGCCACGTCGCCCAGACGGCAGCGAGAGCAGCGAAGCCACGAACGCCACAGGCATAAGGGAAGAACACAGGCAGCGTAGCCACAAGAACACGGCTGACCACCTGGGACACCATCACCCGCGAACCGGGAAGAACAGAACCGGAGCAACGCAAAACGCGCTCCGGACCCAAACGCCGCGGCACGCAAACAACAGCAGAGGGCCGCCACTGAACACAAAAACGACACACCCCCGGCCCGACCAACAAAGCACCAACAAACCCTGGACCCCTCCA